TGGTGCCAGGTAGTTGCCAAAGCCCTTCCACTTTATCATTTGGAGTAAACGTGGCATTCAGCAAAATTCATTTATACATATTTCATGGTTATCCACATGCTTACAGTACACAAGTCTTGAAAATGTGTGCAGTGTTTTCAATGTTTCCTCTGAGTATTGCAAGGGGGAGTCATCTACTAGATCATCAGAAAAAAATCCTTTTCTTGGATTCTTAGATTTACTTTTTTCTCCTGTCTAGTAAAAAAGCTCAAGACCAAGAGGCTACCAGCCCAGGCACTCTGTGCAAGCAAGACATGCAAACTTTGACAGGCCAACTGGGAAAAATTTTAAAAATGAGATAATCTACAGAGTTACTAAGATACTAGGAGACTGGAAAGAATAAAATTTACTACACATTTGAAAGCACAGGAGCGACCATATGAAGTAGGGGTCAACAAACTGCAGCTTGGAAGCCAAGTCCAATCCACCACTTCTTTTTGTGAAGCTCAAGAGCTGAGGATAATATTTACATTTTTAAATGGCTGAAAAAAATCAAAAGAAAAATAATATTTAATGGCATGTGAAAATTAAATGAAATTCAAATTTCAGTGCCCATAAGGTTTTATTGGAATACAGCCACACCCATTAGTTTACGTATCATCTACGGCTGCTTTCACACTACAAAGGCAGAGCTGAGTAGCTGAAACAGAGACCATATGACCCACAAAGCCTAAAATATTTACTGCCTGGCCCTCTACAGAAAAAGTTTACCAGCCCCTGATCGAAAGTCTTACTGTGATATTTAAGAAAACCAGACACAGAAAGATAAGAGGAGCTTTGTGAAAAGATCTCTAGGACTCGCAAAGTAAAGATCAGTCAACTCCTTGGGCAAAGATACCTGATCAAGGCTCTGTTGAAGCTGCAAGCAGATACTCCTAACAGAGTTAATTTGCCCCTGGGAAATGTTGCTTAAAAAGTCAAGGAGTGAAGAGGACACTGACATGCACCAAAAACTCCAAACAAAAAGTAATATTCAATTCCACATGAGTTGAAGTGGGAAAGAATGGATTTAAAGGAAAGAGTTCAATGAGGGTTCACTTACATTTCTTCCCTCACAAAAACCTGAAGCGAGAGAGAGAATCAAAGCCATACTTATATAAATTTTGCCAAGGAAACTAAATTGGGACATATTGTAAACATCAGTGAGGATGGTGTAATTCTTTGAGTTCAGAATGTAAACTACAGTTTCAGTTTTATGATGTGTACCAAACAGCACTCCATGTGTACAAAACAAATGGATGTACAATCTCCAATGTTTTACTAGAAAATGTCTGAAAAATAGTAAATTCTTGAGCACATAATGCACATGATGAATTAATTAACCCTCTTTGAAACATGAAGAAGTAGAGATGGGGATTCATATCCTGATTTTCCAGATGAGAAAATGGAAAAAAAAGGAAGTTACCCGGCCATGACCACAAGGGAGAATCTCAAAGTATTGGCTTTTAACCCAGCTCATCCATAGTGCAACCTCTCAGCTGGCTCTATCCCCATTTGAAGACTGATTTTTAATTAATTAGGGTATGAGATGTGCTATCTGCTAGGAAGGCAAAACCAAAAGTGCATATAGGTATAAATGCATGTGTGTTGGCTGAAAGAATGGTGATGATGTTTATAATTTGTACAATTGTCACAAAAAAATCTAAGCTGGAAGGGCATTTTAAAAGCATCTAGTTCAACTCCCTTATTTTACAAATGGGAAAAACTGAGGTCCAAACGGGGAAATTTCTTATCTAAAACCACACAACTAAAACCTCTCTGAGCCCCTACTCCTGTGTATGGTCACTGCCTTCCTTTGACTTCTGGGCCTCTTAGCTAGAATCCAACATGCCATCCCTTTCTCTTCCCTGCTCATTCTACCCAGCCCACAAACCAGCTGTTTCTCCTCATGCTTGTTTCTAATCCACAGACCATCCCTCCAGCCACACACGCACTCTTTTACTAAGTATCCCTAAACTAGATTATAGTGACTTCACCCCCATAGCCTAGTACCATTATTTTTTCTCTCAAAAGTGTGTAGATCTTTCCCTGCCCAGCCTCATCCTACCCTCACCTAACCCCCCCAGCATTACTGACAATGAGAAAATGTGGGGCTCTCTCTTCCTTTTCCTCCCCAACAAGAAATCCTGGCCAGATTATAATTGACTCTGTGCTGAGCCCTGCACCAATGACAACATTAAAGCCTCATGCTTTATGAACCACCAAAGCTAGAAATGGATTTCTGTCTGACATGCCAGGCTTTTAAGTCTTGTACCTGTGCCAGTTCAAAGATTTCTAAAACCATGAATTAAGTGATAATCAACACTCTGAATACTCAGTCTGAGTTAACTGACAACAACAAACAAATGAGGAAGAGCAAGATTTGTGCTCCTACTCTCTCCAAGATGGGTGTAATTCCAAGTTTCAACAAGGCAGATTCAGAACCACCTTCAGAAAGGCCATTTGGGTGATAAAGATGCATTGTAAAGATGGTAAAAAAAAAAATGAATAAATGTTCTCTTCGGGTAATAAGACAGCCCCCTGCTTTCAAATAGGGATAATGACGGCAGTAAACTCAAGTCACCCAGCTTTACAGGTGGGAGGAGAAAGAAAACACTAATAATTTTTTTGGCTTTGTTTTGTGTAGTGTCTCTCTCTCTCTTTTTTTTTTCTTCCTAAACTACCTTCTCCTGTCCTTCAAAGGGCTCAGGACTGAAATCTGGCGTCTATATTCCAATGTAACCAAGGAACTCATAAGGTTCTCCTTCATGGCTTTGCAGGGAATCCATTGGTGATTTTTCCTGTTTGAAGCAGTCAAGAGCATTTGGCCTCATGAGCTCACAGAGGCTTGCTTTCTCAAAAAAAAAAAAAAAAAAACACTGAGTTTCCTTAAGTGACTCTAGGGTATGGAGCAATTTGAGACTTTGCTGGATTTCTATATGTTCTGTAAATTGGGTGATTTCCCCCCACCCCCACCCCATCTCTCCTCTTCCATTTGTCAAATAGCCCAGGTTCCACATAATAGCAGAGCTCCCCCCAGGCAGCCCTGCCAGCTGCCTTTCTGCCAGCCCCCCTCCTTCATCCCTAACTCCTGCAGAAAGCTCCCGTGTAGGATGTATGATATGATGGCAAAATCTTCTCTTTCACCACATGGTTGATCATTTTCCCTGCTTTCTGAAAAGAACAATTTGGTGTCAGAGATTTGTAAAACCCAGAGGCAGTATCGGGTATAATCGAATCTATCTGACCATTGAATTTGCTTGTGCACTTGCTGACTCGAACTCCTTTCCCATCTGATATGGCTGCTATTACCGTGGTCTCTGGGCTTGCTAACGTTCTGGCTCTGGATGAGTGCTCTGGTTCATTCACTGCTTCTATACAGGGCCTGCTAGAGGACAGGATATGGGGAAGTGGCAGGGTTTCAGTAGGGAACTTGGGATGATTAGAGGTCATAAAAGCTGCTCCTCACTTCCTTTTCTAAAAGCCATCCTTTTGTAAGTGCTCTTAAGAAAGAAAGGCACTGATCTCAGGATCTTTCCAAATTGCTTAGGCCTAGCTACTGGGACCTGGACCTCATATTAGCCCAGCATAGACAGTAGCAATGGGCCACTCGGGGGTATGAGTAGAACATGCAGCATGTTTTCAGTGATATCAAATACTAGCTACCTCCTTGTTACTTTGGGGACTGGAAGAAAACAACATGACATTTTTCTGTTTTATAAGTGTTTCTGACACCCAGCCAAAATGATGAAACTATACTCATTGTGGTTGGCTATTAACAAGGAGACCAGTTAAAGGGCACCTACTTTCTACTTTTCCTCTAGATGCTATGAACCCTCTCATGCTTCTGTTGTCCTCTGGTGGGTGTCAGCACATTCCTGGTGAAAGGGGTGGCCTAAACACCTGTTTTTTAAGACTGTCCTCAGGGTTTCTCTGTTTTGGTTCTGATTTGGAATTCAACACTTCCAGGACAGTGAAAGGGAAGGAAAAAGGCCTTAGCAGGAAGTCCACTCCTTTGTGGAAAGTGGGGGCAGGGGTGCACAGTGGTGTTTAACAACTGGGTCTGGTCCCAGAGCAGAGCATCTCTGTGTAGGGGCTGCTCACCAGTGTCCCTTTGAGGAGGAAGCCCTTGGTACAGGGTGGGGAGTGAGGTGGATGAGTAGAAAGCTTAAGCCTAAGGTGATTAGGAAGGAAGGAGGCACTAGCATATATAAGAGGCCTGGAAATGAGAGTTCCTGCTGTGGGATATAGGCTTAGCACTTCTGGGGGATGAGCAGACATGAGTTGTTCTAAGCTAAATAAGACTAAGGAGCCAGGGCTTGAGCCCACTTAGCCAGATATAAGATGCTATTTGGCTTGGGATTCCGGACCAATGAGCAGGTCCTGATGGGCCTCCGGAGAGGAGAATAAACGTATTTCTGCACTCTAGGTTCTTACCTACCTATTAATGCAAACAGAGGTCCCAAGGAGGCAGCAGCAGCGGGGAGCAGGTGCAGAGACTGATGGTCTGCTGAATGGAGAGAACGTTTTCTTTCTGGGGCCGAGGCCAGAAGCCTTTGCTAAGGAACAGTCTTGTATTCACCATAGAGTACAGGCTGAGGACTCAGGGCTTCTCCACTTCTAACCTCTTTAATAAGGACAATTTTTTCCCTTGCTAGGCAGTGGAGTGGAAAACAAGCATGGAGGAAATTAAATGTTTTCAAATCATTAATTTTTCTTTCATTCCTAGGACCCACCAAGACCCAAGCTCCAGCTGGGGCCAACTTCATTGCCTACATTGCCTGTACAACCAAGGCAGCCAAAGCCAGGGGACAAGCAAGTATGAAACTTTGCTTTTTTAGGCTCGTAGGTTCTTTGAGAGGGTACTGCTAATGACTCTGTCCCTGAGATGATACAATCCTGAGCCCTTGAAGGTTGGTGTCTTTCTCTCTAGAAGGTAAAGGAGAAAGAGAAATAAAGGTGAGTGTGCAAGACCCTTTTACCTTCAGCGGCTCTTTTGAAGAAGACCTTGCAGCTTCCACAAGTGAGAGCTCCATAATGACAGCCAGAAGCTTCATCCCCACAGATCAGGCACGTCTTTTGGGGTGGAAAGTAATAGTCGATGGGCAAAACATGGTCCCTGGCGCTCTCCAAACTGGAAAGACACACACACAAAAATAATGCAACAGTTGTCAGTGGGTGGTAGAAACAAGAGGGCAGAAGTCTAAGGTTTTCAGGAGTAAACTGCATGCTTAAATTATTATTCATTGCTCAAGTGAGCCAGTGCGAAGCTGAATTTTCCTGGGACTTCTCCTAAGTATGATGTTTGTAGAGTTTCCTCTGCTGTGAACAGAGCCTTTTTGGATCCTGTCAAGAGATTAGGGAAGTTTTCTGTAATTAACCAATCTCACAGGCTATATCTATATCAGGGAAGGATGAAGGCAGGAAACCTGAGGTTAAGATATCTAACTCGGGGTGGTGGCCAAGCAACATTTTCAGAGCAATGAGATGGTGTGAACCCAGCCCTACTACTTTATTTCATCCAAAAGAAGACTTATGACCAAACCAGACCAAATATGGAAGCAGTTTTATATGCTTTACTTTAGCCCTCTGAGCCTCAAATCTCATCTGTAAAATAAGGATAATTATTCATTCTGCTGAGCTGCTGTTAGTGGTAATATAAATCAGACAATGAATAGAAAGCCCTTGGAATAAATACACAAGTGAAGGATCCTGGTGAATATTATCACACCAGTCTTCAATGGTCTTTTTTCCCCCCATTCCCTCACTTTCCTTAGGAGTCTCTCTAGATCATGTTGCCATCCCCCCTCCCCCACTCCACAACATAAAGTAGTGGGATCCCTATGCCTGAGGCTCTTATTGAAATGATGCACAGTAATGCTGGATGACTTTCCGGCTTCCATCAAAACACTTGGCCACTAAAGGACTCATAAGTTCCTTGAGCAAGGATGGAGCTTCAGAAGTTACCCAGTCTAACTGCCTGTCTCCAAGATCTGTTCCTGAGTTTTTCCAGGTGGATGTTAAGGGGAGGGGCCAGAAAGCCGATTCTAAAACCTTTATGGAAGGGTAATTCTCAGTCTCCCATAGTAATTAATTCAAGTTTGAACAAATGGAACATGGTTCTTACTGCCTAAAGGTCAACTTTCATCTTTCCTATGTTCTATGCCTAAGCAGTAAACAAAACTCACGTGACCTTCTGGGTTAATCTGCTTCAGATAGATGACAACTGACCACGCTCTCATCCTCAGGAATACAATTGCTATATTTTATGAGTACTTCTTTATTAAAGAAGGAAGGAAAATAAGCCCTAATGGGAGCCTGTATGCTGTACTGGGTGATTTCAACACCTCATAACAACCCTGTGAGACAAGTTTACCTTTTCATTATTATATCCATTGTACAGATGAAAAAAGTGAGAAGCTCAGGACAATCTGACACCAAACCCAGGACTATCTGACTTCAAGTCCAACACAGTTTTCAATACCCTATTGTCTTCCCACTACTCACCTTTACTTTCTACTAAAAGCTCTTTGGCTCTTTGGTAATCATGCTCAGCACACTCATCAGAATGCAACAAAGCATGAAAGACTATTTTCTCCTTAATTCCAAGTGAGCAGCCCTGGTAGGATAAGAGCAAAGAAAGCTATCACTCAGACTACACTTTACTAGCACTTTATCTCCAAGGCACAAACATTAGCCTTTATTCAACTCCCAAGTACCACAAAAAGCACTGCTGAGATGCAAACCCAGCAGCTGGCTATGGGGGCCTATTTTCTTTCCCCTCAAGCCTTCCATTTCTTACCCTAACTAGAAAGCCAGCAGGAGTCTGTCCACCAAACCACAGGTAGCAGGGCCATAGGTCCCACAGGAAAGGAGTTAGCTTCCAATATAAAATTCAACCAAATGCTAAGGATGGCATTTCTTTGGCTGAAAGTGCTATTGCCTTTAGTAAAATTGTGCTTTCACCCTCAGTCCTAAAACAAGGAGAAGCAGCAGAAATTTTTCACAAGTGTCTTCCTCCTCTCCCCTTTTTTGACTTCTGTCACTAACATAAACAATTCAAATAAAATCAAAAAGACTTGTACTTAGGCACTCTATGTGCCAGACCATTTCATACGCACCATCTCATTTAATTTTCCCAACAATCCTGACAGATAGCTCTGTATCATCCATATACTGTAGAAGAGAAAACGGATGCTCAGAACAATTAGGTAAACTTGTCCAAGATCACACATCTAGTAAGTGGCAAGGCCAGGAGTCCATCCTAGGTAAATCTGACTCCAAAGTGCAGATTCTTAACCACTGACAGACCATGTTATGATATCAAAGTTTGAGATTAGATAGATTAGCTCAACTCAACTCTTTACACCTGGCTCGATGGACCAGGCACAGGGCTAGGTGCTGGGGATGTAGTGATAATCAACATATTGTCCTTGCCCCTAAGCAACTTACCATCTAATAGAAAAGAGAGACAGGAAACAACATACTGTACAACAACATAGTAAATGATATAATAAAGCAGAGTGCAGACTGCTACAGATGAGGAAACACCTCAAGGACAGGATTATTTTTCGACAGGCATATAGGCATGTATGGGTAAATAAGATGATGATAATGATAACAATTATTATTATATGATTACAAAATAAATATCAGGTAAACAAAATGGAAATATGCAGAAAGTAAATAAGAGGTCTTTTTGCAAAGGGCCTTTAAGAAATAGAAATGAGGAGTTGCTGTTCAATGGGTATAAAGTTTCAGTTAAGCAGATGAATGTTCTAAAGATCTGCTGTGCAACACTGTGCCTATATTTAATACAGTATTGCGCACTTAAAATTTTGTTATGAGGGTAAACCTCATGTTAAGTGTTCTTCTTATTCAAATAAATTTTTAAATAGAAATTTTCATAAATATTAAAATTTAAAATAGTTAAAATTGTTTAAAATAAACTAATTAATCAAATTTACAATCAATGAAAGACTGAAAAAATTCATGAACATTTTGTTTATTAGATATGAGTTTAATAAAGTGCACCTTGCACAAAAATAACTATAAAGGAGGAAGGGGAGGAAAAATAATGGAAAGGATTTCAGAATCTAACTACACCCCACTTTAACTAGAGATCTGAGATAATAACTACAGGCCTTACCAGTGCACCTCCCCCCCGGCAAAATATTTTGGACAGTATTCCCACTGACCCTGGCCTAGTGTGGACAAAGGGCATATTGCAGTTCTGACTCATGGATTGACCTTTGGGTGTTGAAAATGAAAATTCCAACTTCATTCCCTTTCCCACATTTATATCCTAGAGGATATAAATGCACATGTGTATCAGGAGGCACATGCAAGAATGGTCATAGCAGCTTTGTTTATAAGAGCAGAAATGATAAACATCCACTATTGGGAGAAAGGACAAATAAATTATGGTGCACTTATTCAATAAAATACAATTCAGCAATGACAAGAAACAGAATAAAGCTACACATACTTGAATCTCACATGATAATGTTGTGTGAAAGACATAACTCACAATAGTATACATACAATATGATCCTATTACATAAAATTCAAAAAGAAGCAAATGCAAACAGTATGTTATTTGGGAATATATATGTTTAACAAACCATCAAAATGCAAAGAATAATAAGCCCCAAATGTAGGTTGTGGATACCTCTGAGGGGAGCCCAAGAGTGATGATGAAAAAGGAGGATACAAGTAGACGTATGCATTTATTTTAAAAAATTTATTATCACATACCAGGTACCATTCTAGGTCCTGGGGATATAGCAATGAACAAAATGGACTAAAAAACCATGCCCTTACAGAGTTTCCATTTTAGCAGGGTTGATGCAATGGTGTTGCTAATGTTGTTGCTTCTTTAATCAGGGTTCATGAGTGTTCATTTTCCTGTTGTGCTGTATAGCTTACCTATATATTACAGGTATTTTTTTGTATGATTATAATAGCACATATAGAAGAAAAACTAAAAGAAAAGCCTCAGAAGCTTCTAACGTCATCCGAAATAACATACTAATTGCAAGCACAGCAGAGGTTTGCTTTGAGAACAAGTGCAGAATTTGCATGCAACATGTTTCTTCGCACCTCCCTTGGGTTACAGGCTCACTTATTATCCCAAGGCAGGGCATTCGGTTTTATGAGTCTTAAGCAAAAGCACTGCTGCATAGAATGGAAGGTTTTGAACCATAACACCACATGCTATTCTCCAACATGTTCACAATTAATTAAATAAAAGTGGATTACTGGAAGCTGCCAGCCTGCAAATGCCAGCTCAGCCATGGGGAATTTGGGCTTAGGAACCTTCGGCACCCAGCTGAGATCTCCAGTCTCTCTCTCCCTCTCTCCCTCCCTCCACTTTTTTCTCCCCTCCTCTTCTCCCTTCCCCACACTCTCTCCTAAGGAGGACTTGAGGGTACTCTGAAGGGGCTGACACATTTGAGCAAGTCCCCCAATGACTGTGGAAATAGGATGAAATGTAAAAGTCACAAACCTGTTTTCCTTGTTTAAGAGAGGAATGTCAACTCAGCAGGGCTTTGGAGCTAGCCAGACCTGGGTTGGAATCCTGCCTCCACCACTGAACTTTGGGCAAAGTCATTAAGGCTCTCTGAGTTCCATTCACCTCATCTGGAGAGTTGGAAATACTTTCTACTGTAAAGAGGTTTTTTTTTTTTTTTTTTGTGAGAATTACATTAAATAACACATGTTATTTATTATTCCCTCTGTGCCTGCCACATGGTATGTGCATTGTAAGTCTTGGTTGCCTTAATTTTTCATCTTACCATTAAAAAAGTCTAATATCCTAAGGAAAAAAAAAGAGCTTCCTTCTTGGTTATACAGAGCTTTTAGGGAAGAGTAAGTACATGGAGAGATTGAGAGAGAGAGAGAGAGAGAGAAAGCCTAAATGTGTAAAAGTATATCTTTTTATACATACTTTTTATACAAAGCTAGAAAAAGATTAGGTAACCACCAAGCATCTTTATAGAACATAATAAATTTCTGATGTTTAGTAATTTTAAAAATTATTTTTTTATTAATCACATTGTGGAATACAGTGACATCCTTACATGAATTTTAAAGATAGAATTAGAGTCTAAAATTATGCTCTCATTATAGATC